TTCGGGCCCCTCGTCCTGGTGTGCGTCGTTCGGGCCCCTCCTTGTGTGTGAGTCGTTCGAGTTCCTCGTGGTGGGAGTCGTTCGGGCCCCTCGTCCTGGTGTGAGTCGTTGGGGCGCCTCCTTCTCTTGGGGGCCTCTTGGGGGCCTCGTCCTTCCTTGTGTGAGTGCCTCGGGCCCCTCATTGTGTGTGAGTCGTTCGGGCTCCTCGTGGTGTGAGTCGTTGGGGACCCTCGTCCTGGTGTGCGTCGTTCGGGCCCCTGCTTGTGTGTGAGTCGTTCGGGCTCCTCGTGGTGGAAGTGGTTCGGGCCCCTCGTCTTGGTGTGCGTCGTTGGGGCGCCTCCTTGCGTGTGAGTCGTTCGGGGTTCTCGTGGTGTGAGTCGTTCGGGCCGCTCGTCCTGGTGTGCGTCGCTCGGGCCCCTCGTCCTGGGTTGAGTCGTTCGGCTTCCTCGTGGGGCCCTCTTGGGGGCCTCCTCGAGGCCTGTGGGGCCTCCTGAGGGCCTCGTGGGGACCTCTGGGGGCCTTCTTGGGAGCCTCCTGGGGCGTCCAGGAGCCTCTTGGGGACCTCTTGGGAGCCTCTGGGGTCCTCTTGGGGGGTTCTTGGGGGCATCTTTGAAGCCTCTGTGGAGCCTCCTGGGGGCCTTTGGGGCCAGCTTGGAGCCTCGAGCGATCCTTCGAAGCGCGAACGAGCGATGCCCCCTGAGAAGGACAGGATGACCCAATATTTTCGCACAATCAATGTTTGTGTCATGAAGACAGAGAAGCGCTGTTCCCTCCGAACGCCGCAATGGGGCCGACACATAGAGTATATTATATCGGCCACGTGTTGTTGTGATGCATATTGCACCCCTTGCCCAATTGGCCCCATAGGGTAGATTATATTGGCCACTTGTTGTTATGATGCATGCTTCACTCCTTGCCCCATTGGCCCCGCCCTCGTTGTAGCAGCGCTGTGGCGGCTACCGCTCGAGGACATGCAGGCGCGCCAGAGATAATGCGAGAGTTCACGTCTGTGTGCGTTGGTGTGAGTCGTTCGGGCGCCTCCTTGCGTGTGAGTCGTTCGGGCCCCTCGTGGTGTGAGTCGTTCGGGCCGCTCGTCCTGGTGTGCGTCGCTCGGGCCCCTTCTTGTGTGTAAGTTGCTCGGGCTCCTCGTGGCGTGAGTCGTTGGGGCCCCTCGTCCTGGGGTGAGTGGTTCGGGCCCCGCGTTGTATGTGAGTCGTTGGGGCTCCTTGTGGTGTGAGTCGCTCGGGCCCATCGTCCTGGCGTGCGTCGTTCGGGCCCCTCCTTGTGTGTGAGTCGTTCGAGCTCCTCGTGGTGGGAGTCGTTCGGGCCCCTCGTCCTGGTGTGAGTCGTTGGGGCGCCTCCTTCTCTTGGGGGCCTCTTGGGGGCCTCGCCCTTCCTTGTGTGAGTGCCTCGGGCCCCTCATTGTGTGTGAGTCGTTCGGGCCCCTCGTGGTGTGAGTCGTTGGGGGCCCTCGTCCTGGTGTGCGTCGTTCGGGCCCCTGCTTGTGTGTGAGTCGTTCGGGCTCCTCGTGGTGGGAGTGGTTCGGGCCCCTCGTCTTGGTGTGCGTCGTTGGGGCGCCTCCTTGCGTGTGAGTCGTTCGGGGTTCTCGTGGTGTGAGTCGTTCGGGCCGCTCGTCCTGGTGTGCGTCGCTCGGGCCCCTCGTCCTGGGTTGAGTCGTTCGGCTTCCTCGTGGGGGCCTCCTCGAGGCCTGTGAGGCCTCCTGAGGGCCTCGTGGGGACCTCTGGGGGCCCTCTTGGGAGCCTCCTGGGGCGTCCTGGAGCCTCTTGGGGACCTCTTGGGAGCCTCTGGGGTCCTCTTGTGAGGTTCTTGGGGGCATCTGGGAAGCCTCTGTGGAGCCTCCTGGGGGCCTTTGGGGTCAGCTTGGGGCATCGAGCGATCCTTCGAAGCGCGAGCGAGCGATGCCCCCTGAGAAGGACAGGATAACCCAAGATTTTCGTACAATCAATGTTCGCGTCATGAAGGCAGAGAAGCGCTGTTCCCTCCGAGCGCCGAAATGGGGCCGAAACGTAGAGTATATTATATCGGCCACGTGTTGTTGTGGTGCATATTGCGCTCCTTGCCCAATTGGCCCCATAGGGTAGATTATATTGGCCACTTGTTGTTATGATGCATGTTTCACTCCTTGCCCCATGGGCCCCGCCCTCGCTGTAGCAGCGTTGTGGCGGCTATCCCTCGAGGACGCGCAGGCGCGCCAGAGATAATGCGAGAGTTCGCGTCTGTGTGCGTTGCAGATATGTGAGTCGTTCCAGCTCTTCGCGGCATGAGTCGTTGGGGCCCCTCGCCCTTCCTTGTGTGACTCCTTCGGGCCCCTCATTGTGTGTACGTCGTTCGGGCTCCTCGTGGTGTGGGCCCCCTCCTTGTGTGTGAGTCGTTCGGTCCCCTCCTCCTGGTGTAACTCGTTCGGGCTCCTCGTGGTGTGAGTCGTTGGGGCCCCTCGTCCTGGGGTGAGTGGTTCGGGCCCCGCATTGTATGTGAGTCGTTCGGGCTCCTCGTGGTGTGCGTCGTTCGGGCCCCTCCTTGTGTGTGAGTCCTTCGGGCTCCTCATGGTGTGAGTCGTTCGGGCCCCTCGTCCTGGTGTGAATCGTTCGGGCGCCTCCTTGCGTGTGAGTCGTTCGGGCTCCTCGTGGTGTGAGTCGTTCGGACCGCTCGTCCTGGTGTGCGTCGCTCGGGCCCCTCCTTGTGTGCAAGTTGCTCGGGCTCCTCGTGGTGTGAGTCGTTGGGGCCCCTCGTCCTGGGGTGAGTGGTTCGGGCCCCGCGTTGTATGTGAGTCGTTGGGGCTCCTTGTGGTGCGAGTCGTTCGGGCCCCTCGTCCTGGTGTGCGTCGTTCGGGCCTCTCCTTGTGTGTGAGTCGTTCGAGCTCCTCGTGGTGGGAGTCGTTCGGGCCCCTCGTCCTGGTGTGAGTCGTTGGGGCGCCTCCTTCTCTTGGGGGCCTCTTGGAGGCCTCGTCCTTCCTTGTGTGAGTGCCCCGGGCTCTTCATTGTGTGTGAGTCGTTCGGGCTCCTCGTGGTGTGAGTCGTTGGGGACCCTCGTCCTGGTGTGCGTCGTTCGGGCCCCTGCTTGTGTGTGAGTCGTTCGGGCTCCTCGTGGCGGGAGTGGTTCGGGCCCCTCGTCTTGGTGTGCGTCGTTGGGGCGCCTCCTTGCGTGTGAGTCGTTCGGGGTTCTCGTGGTGTGAGTCGTTCGGGCCGCTCGTCCTGGCGTGCGTCGCTCGGGCCCCTCGTCCTGGGTTGAGTCGTTCGGCTTCCTCGTGGGGCCCTCTTGGGGGCCTCCTCGAGGCCTGTGAGGCCTCCTGAGGGCCTCGTGGGGGCCTCTGGAGGCCCTCTTGGGAGCCTCCTGGGGCGTCCTGGAGCCTCTTGGGGACCTCTTGGGAGCCTCTGGGGTCTTCTTGGGAGGTTCTTGGGGGCATCTGGGAAGCCTCTGTGGAGCCTCCTGGGGGCCTTTGGGGCCAGCTTGGAGCCTCGAGCGATCCTTCGAAGCGCGAACGAGCGATGCCCCCTGAGAAGGACAGGATAACCCAATATTTTCGTACAATCAATGTTTGTGCCATGAAGGCAAAGAAGCGCTGTTCCCCCCGAGCGCCGAATTGGGGCCGAAACATAGAGTATATTATATCGGCCACGTGTTGTTGTGATGCATATTGCACTCCTTGCCCAATTGGCCCCATAGAGTAGATTATATTGGCCACTTGTTGTTATGATGCATGTTTCACTCCTTGCCCCATTGGCCCCGCCCTCGTTGTAGCAGCGTTGGGGCGGCTATCGCTCGAGGACATGCAGGCGCGCCAGAGATAATGCGAGAGTTCGCGTCTGTGTGCGTTGCAGATATGTGAGTCGTTCCAGCTCTTCGTGGTATGAGTCGTTGGGGCCCCTCGTCCTTCCTTGTGTGACTCCTTCGGGCCCCTCATTGTGTGTGCGTCGTTCGGGCTCCTCGTGGTGTGGGTCCCCTCCTTGTGTGTGAGTCGTTCGGTCCCCTCCTCCTGGTGTAACTCGTTCGGGCTCCTCGTGGCGTGAGTCGTTCGGGGCCCGCGTCGTGGTGTGAGGCGTTCGGGCTCCTCGTGGTGTGAGTCGTTCGGGCGCTTCGTCTTGGTGTGAGTCGTGCGGGCCCTTCCTTGTGGTGTGACTCGTTCGGGCTCCTCGCGGTGTGAGTCGTTGGGGTCTCTCGTCCTGGTGTGAGTCGTTCGGGCTCCTCGTTGGGCCTGTTGGGGGCCTCTTGGAGCTTTTGGGGCGTCTTGGGGGCCTCTTGGGGGCCTCTTGGGGGCGTCTTGGGGGCCTCTTGGAGCCTCTTGGGGCCTCTTGGGGGCCTCTTGGGAGCCTCTTGGGGGCCTCTTGGGGCCTCTTGGGGGCCTCTTGGGGGCCTCCTGGAGGCCTCTTGGGAGCCTCCTGGGGGCCTCTTGGGGTTATCTTGGGGCCTCTTGCGGCCTCCTCAGAAGCGCTAGTAAGCGCTGACCCCTGAGAAGGACAAAATGAGCCCAAAACCTTCGTAACATCTATGATTTTGCTAAGAAGGAAGAGGAACGCGGCCCCCTCAGAAGGCCAAAATGGGGCCAAAACCGTAGTAACATCAGTGTTTTTTTGCTTCAGCGACGAGTTCAGGCGCCAAACTCCCCCCCCCCCCTCGGGGCCAGAATCCTCGTGAGGGTCGTCGTTTTTTGGCCCTCCCAGGCGTCGAAAAAAGACTCCCCTGACGACGCTCGGGGCTCCCTCTCCAGGTCCAGGGGGAGGGGTAAACCCCTCCCCGAAGGGGAAGAAGGGGGGTTGAGGACAGAGAGAGCTCGCTAAACCACTCACGCTCAAAGGGCTGGTGGGATTTTTCGCATGACGTACCAGAGTCTTAACCCAAGAGGGCCCCAATACACTGAGCAAGCGATCTCGCGCCCTCACAGAGTACCAGCGCTTTCCTCCCACGTGCCAAGCAGGTTTGATGGCCGACATAACTTTTGGTCATGGTCGCCCCTGGACGGCCCCAGTTAGCCCAAAGATTGCCTCAGAGGGCCCCAAGTCGGCCCAAGACAGCCGCAAGAGCGCCAAGAGTTTTTTTTTGTTGCTCAAGTGCTTGCCATCCTCTCCGCCACCTGCTACATTACGACGACCCACTGTACACTCGGCGCAGCCTGGCCATGGCGCGCGTGCTGGCGGTGGTGCTGATGGCCCTCGCATTCGTGCAGGGTGGCGCCCTTGACTCGGAGGAGGATCGCCCCAAGGGCGCCCGCAGGCGGGCCCGTGAGCGCGCGCGCCGACGCGAGACGGCGAGCCCAGGTGACGTGCGCCCAAGAGACCGGCTGCAAGATGGAGCCGCCCTTGGCGCGCGAGTGCAGCACGGCGAGAGTTCCAGGTGAAGCGTGCGCTGAAAGAGGTGCCGAGCTCGCGCCCCAGAGGCCCCCGAGGCAGCTGGGTTAGTTTTTCGCATGACGTACCAGAGCCTTACCCCAAGAGAGCTCCAAGACGCTGAGCAAGCGATCTCGCGCCCTCACAGAGTACCAGCGCTTTCCTCCCACGTGCCAAGCAGGTCTGCTGGCCGACATAACTTTCGGTCATGGTCGGCCCTGGACGGCCCCAGTTAGCCCAAATATTGCCTCAGAGGGCCCCAAGTCGGCCCAAGACAGCCGCAAGAGCGCCCCGTAACTTTTTTTTGCTCAAGTGCTTGCCGTCCTCTCCGCCACCTGCTACATTACGACGACCCACTGTACACTCGGCGCAGCCTGGCCATGGCGCGCGTGCTGGCGGTGGTGCTGATGGCCCTCGCCTTCGTGCAGGGTGGCGCCCTTGACTCGGAGGAGGATCGCCCCAAGGGCGCCCGCAGGCGTGCCCGTGAGCGCGCGCTCGCGGCGCAGACCGAGGAGGACGTGGCCAAGACCGGCTGCGCCCAGCTGGGTGGCGACAAGTGGTTCTCGGATGCGCACGGCGAGCTGTTCCAGGTGAAGCAGGACCACTGCTCGATCACATTCGCGCTGAAGACCAAGAGCGGTGCAACTGTCGAGAAGCGCGGCGTGGTCAGGGGCGCCAAGGTGCTGATGGAGCCGCCCTTCCCCGAGGGCACGGTGGTGGGCGCGAGCGTCAAGTTCGAGAACGGCGCCAAGTGGGAGCGCAAGTGGTGAGCGCCTCGCCGGAGGCTGCCGCGGACGGCCTCCCGAGAGTCGCTTTCAGCCTCTTTCCCAGCGGGCCCCAAGTCGGCGGGCCGACCTCGATTCGTTACCGCCACCAAGACCGGCTGCTCGACAAGTGGATGGTGTTCCAGGTGAAGCAGGACCACTGCTCGATCGCGCTGAAGACCAAGAGCGGTGCAACTGTCGAGAAGCGCGGCGTGGTCAGGGGCGCCAAGGTGCTGATGGAGCCGCCCTTCCCCGAGGGCACGGTGGTGGGCGCGAGCGTCAAGTTCGAGAACGGCGCCAAGTGGGAGCGCAAGTGGTGAGCGCCTCGCCGGACTGCCGGGCGGCCTCCCGTCGAGGCTCAGAGCGGCGCGTCGACAGGCCTGGAGCCTCTCAGATACCCGCGGGCGACTCGTCGAACCAACAAGAAAGACGGCCCCTGAGAGCGCCCAAGCTACCGCCACGACGGCCTCAGGGAGGCCCCAAGAGGGCCCCAAGACGGCCCGAGAGCGCTCAAAGAGGGCCCAGGGTGGCCTCAAGACGGCCCAGGAGGCCCCCAGTATGCTCCACGAGGCCTCCAAAAGGGCCCCAAAGGTGCAAAAATCGTCCATCGTCTCGGCAACGTACATTTTCGCACAGCTTTTTTGGGGGTCTTCACAGCGTCCGCGACGGCCTGAGAGGCCCCCAGGATCCCCCCCAGACGGCACAAGAGGCCCCCAAGACGGCCCCAAGACGGCCACGAGAGAGCCCAAGAGGGCTCCAAGGCAGCCCCAGAGGCCCCCACGACGGCCCAAGAGAGGCCCCTCTTGGGCCCCGAAAGATCCCCAAGATAGCCCTAAGAGGGTCAAACGAGGTCCCCCAGAGGGCCCCAGAGGGAACCGAGAAGGCCCCAAGACGGCCCCAGCTCCTAAGATGGCCCAAGGGCCCCAGGGCGATCCAAGAGGTCCCCAAGACGGTCCAAGGGAGCTCCAGAAGGACTCCCGCGAGTGCACGGACATTGATTGTTGCAAGGTGGTTTGTTCGTTTTTGGCATGACGTACCAGAGTCTTAGCCCAAGAGAGCTCCAAGACACTGAGCAAGCGATCTCGCGCCCTCACAGAGTACCAGCGCTTTTCTCCCACGTGCCAAGCAGGTCTGATGGCCAAACTTTCGGTCATGGTCGGCCCTAGACGGCCCAAGTTAGCCCAAAGAGCGCCTCCGAGGGCCCCAAGTCGACCCAAGACAGCCGCAAGAGCGCCAAGAGTTTTTTTTTGTTGCTCAAGTGCTTGCCATCCTCTCCGCCACCTGCTACATTACGACCCACTGTACACTCTGCGCAGCCTGGCCATGGCGCGCGTGCTGGCGGTGGTGCTGATGGCCCTCGCCTTCGTGCAGGGTGGCGCCCTTGACTCGGAGGAGGATCGCCCCAAGGGCGCCCGCAGGCGGGCCCGTAAGCGCGCGCTCGCGGCGCAGACCGAGGAGGACGTGGCCAAGACCGGCTGCGCCCAGCTGGGTGGCGACAAGTGGTTCTCGGATGCGCACGGCGAGCTGTTCCAGGTGAAGCAGGACCACTGCTCGATCACCTTCGCGCTGAAGACCAAGAGCGGTGCAACTGTCGAGAAGCGCGGCGTGGTCAGGGGCGCCAAGGTGCTGATGGAGCCGCCCTTCCCCGAGGGCACGGTGGTGGGCGCGAGCGTCAAGTTCGAGAACGGCGCCAAGTGGGAGCGCAAGTGGTGAGCGCCTCGCCGGACTGCCGGGCGGGCCTCCCGTCGAGGCCCAGAGCGGCGCGTCGACAGGCCTGGAGCCTCTCAGATACCCGCGGGCGACTCGTCGAACCAACAAGAAAGACGGCCCCTGAGAGCGCCCAAGCTACCGCCACGACGGCCTCAGGGAGGCCCCAAGAGGGCCCCAAGACGGCCCGAGAGCGCTCAAAGAGGGCCCAGGGTGGCCTCAAGACGGCCCAGGAGGCCACCAATATGCTCCACGAGGCCTCCAACAGGGCGCCCAAGGTGCAAAAATCGTCCGTCCCCTCGGCAACGTACATGTTTAGCACATCTGCTCCTTGGGTCTTCACAGCGTCCACGACGGCCTGAGAGGCCCCCAGGATACCCCTAAGACGGCACAAGAGGCCCCCAAGACGGCCCCAAGACGGCCACAAGAGAGCGCAAGAGGGCTCGAAGACAGCCCCAGAGACCCCCACGACGGCCCAAGAGAGGCCCCTTTTGGGCCCCGAAAGATCCCCAAGATAGCCCTAAGAGGGTCACAGGAGGTCCCCCAGAGGGCCCCAGAGGGAACCGAGAAGGCCCTTAAACGGCCCCAGCTCCCAAGACGGCCCAATGGCCCCAGGATCCAAGAGGTCCCCAAGACGGGCCAAGGGAGCTCCAGAAGGACTCCCACGAAGGCCCGAAGAGGCCATATTCATTGATTGTTGCAAGGTGGTTAGTTCGTTTTTCGCATGACGTACCAGAGTCTTACCCCAAGAGGGCTCCAAGACACTGAGCAAGCGATCTCGCACCCTCGCAGAGTACGAGCGCTTTCCTCCCACGTGCCAAGCAGGTCTGATGGCCTACTTAACCTTCGGTCATGGTAGGCCCTAGACGGCCCAAGAGAGCCCCAAGACGGCCCAAGAGGGCCCCAAGACAGTTCCAGGAGAGCCCCAAGAGGCTCCCAAGAGGGCCCGAAGAGGCGGTATGGGGATTGGGTTGTTTGGGCGTGGGGACTGGGCTGGCCCCAATACGGCCCAAGAGTTCCCAAAACGGTCCAAAAGGGCTCCCACAAGACTCCCAAGAAGCCCCAGAGACGCCAAGCATCATGGGTCCCAACAGTGAGCGGTGACGGAACAAGCTCTGAACACCAAGGTTCCCTAGAGCGCGGTGACGTAAAAAGCTCTTAACAGCAAGGCACGCAAGAGCGAGCGGCAACGTCAAAGTCTGTGAACACCAGGGCTCCAAACAGAGAGCGATGACGCAACAAGCTCTTAACACCAAGGCTCCCAAGAGCTAACGATGCCTTCGCCATTTCGGACAAGTTCCTGCAGCGCTCTTTCCCCCCCGTGCTGGCCCAGGTCTGATGGCCAAACTTTCGGTCATGGTCGGCCCTGGACGGCCCCAGTTTGCCCAAAGATTGCCTCAGAGGGCCCCAAGTCGGCCCAAGTCAGCCGCAAGAGCGCCCCGTAACTTTTTTTGGCTCAAGTGCTTGCCGTCCTCTCCGCCACCTGCTACATTACGACGACCCACTGTACACTCGGCGCAGCCTGGCCATGGCGCGCGTGCTGGCGGTGGTGCTGATGGCCCTCGCCTTCGTGCAGGGTGGCGCCCTTGACTCGGAGGAGGATCGCCCCAAGGGCGCCCGCAGGCGGGCCCGTGAGCGCGCGCTCGCGGCGCAGACCGAGGAGGACGTGGCCAAGACCGGCTGCGCCCAGCTGGGTGGCGACAAGTGGTTCTCGGATGCGCACGGCGAGCTGTTCCAGGTGAAGCAGGACCACTGCTCGATCACCTTCGCGCTGAAGACCAAGAGCGGTGCAACTGTCGAGAAGCGCGGCGTGGTCAGGGGCGCCAAGGTGCTGATGGAGCCGCCCTTCCCCGAGGGCACGGTGGTGGGCGCGAGCGTCAAGTTCGAGAACGGCGCCAAGTGGGAGCGCAAGTGGTGAGCGCCTCGCCGGACTGCCGGGCGGGCCTCCCGTCGAGGCCCAGAGCGGCGCGTCGACAGGCCTGGAGCCTCTCAGATACCCGCGGGCGACTCGTCGAACCAACAAGAAAGACGGCCCCTGAGAGCGCCCAAGCTACCGCCACGACGGCCTCAGGGAGGCCCCAAGAGGGCCCCAAGACGGCCCGAGAGCGCTCAAAGAGGGCCCAGGGTGGCCTCAAGACGGCCCAGGAGGCCCCCAGTATGCTCCACGAGGCCTCCAACAGGGCCCTCAAGGTGCAAAAATCATCCATCCCTTCGGCAACGTACATTTTTAGCACATCTGCTCCTTTGGTCTTCACAGCGTCCACGACGGCCTAAGGGGCCCCCAGGATCCCCCCAAGACGGCACAAGACGGTCCCAAGGCGGCCCCAAGACGGCCACGAGAGAGCCCAAGAGGCTCGAAGGCAGCCCCAGAGGCCCCCACGACGGCCCAAGAGAGGCCCCTCTTGGGCCCCGAAAGATTCCCAAGATAGCCCTAAGAGGGTCACAGGAGGTGCCCCAGAGGGCCCCAGAGGGAACCGAGAAGGCCCCAAAACGGCCCAAGCTCTCCAAGACGGCCCAAGGGCCCCAGGACGACCCAAGAAGTCCCCAAGACGGCCCAAAGGAGCTCGAGAAGGACTCCCACGAAGGCCTGGAGAGGCCATATTCATTGATTGTTGCAAGGTGGTTAGTTCGTTTTTCGCATGACGTACCAGAGCCTTACCCCAAGAGGGCTCCAAGACGCTGAGCAAGCGATCTCGCGCCCTCACAGAGTACCAGCGCTTTCCTCCCACGTGCCAAGCAGGTCTGATGGCCGACATAACTTTCGGTCATGGTCGGCCCTGGACGGCCCCAGTTAGCCCAAAGATTGCCTCAGAGGGCCGCAAGTCGGCCCAAGACAGCCGCAAGAGCGCCCCGTAACTTTTATTTTGCTCAAGTGCTTGCCGTCCTCTCCGCCACCTGCTACATTACGACGACCCACTGTACACTCGGCGCAGCCTGGCCATGGCGCGCGTGCTGGCGGTGGTGCTGATGGCCCTCGCCTTCGTGCAGGGTGGCGCCCTTGACTCGGAGGAGGATCGCCCCAAGGGCGCCCGCAGGCGGGCCCGTGAGCGCGCGCTCGCGGCGCAGACCGAGGAGGACGTGGCCAAGACCGGCTGCGCCCAGCTGGGTGGCGACAAGTGGTTCTCGGATGCGCACGGCGAGCTGTTCCAGGTGAAGCAGGACCACTGCTCGATCACCTTCGCGCTGAAGACCAAGAGCGGTGCAACTGTCGAGAAGCGCGGCGTGGTCAGGGGCGCCAAGGTGCTGATGGAGCCGCCCTTCCCCGAGGGCACGGTGGTGGGCGCGAGCGTCAAGTTCGAGAACGGCGCCAAGTGGGAGCGCAAGTGGTGAGCGCCTCGCCGGACTGCCGGGCGGGCCTCCCGTCGAGGCCCAGAGCGGCGCGTCGACAGGCCTGGAGCCTCTCAGATACCCGCGGGCGACTCGTCGAACCAACAAGAAAGACGGCCCCTGAGAGCGCCCAAGCTACCGCCACGACGGCCTCAGGGAGGCCCCAAGAGGGCCCCAAGACGGCCCGAGAGCGCTCAAAGAGGGCCCAGGGTGGCCTCAAGACGGCCCAGGAGGCCCCCAGTATGCTCCACGAGGCCTCCAACAGGGCGCCCAAGGTGCAAAAATCATCCGTCCCCTCGGCAACGTACATGTTTAGCACATCTGCTCCTTGGGTCTTCACAGCGTCCACGACGGCCTGAGAGGCCCCCAGGATCCCTCCAAGACGGCACAAGACGCCCCCAAGACGGCCACGAGAGAGCCCAAGAGGCTCGAAGGCAGCCCCAGAGGCCCCCACGACGGCCCAAGAGAGGCCCCATGTGGGCCCCGAAAGATTCCCAAGATAGCCCTAAGAGGGTCACAGGAGGTCCCCCAGAGGGCCCCAGAGGGAACCGAGAAGGCCCCAAAACGGCCCAAGCTCTCCAAGACGGCCCAAGGGCTCCAGGACGACCCAAGAAGTCCCCAAGACGGCCCAAAGGAGCTCGAGAAGGACTCCCACGAAGGCCTGGAGAGGCCATATTCATTGATTGTTGCAAGGTGGTTAGTTCGTTTTTCGCATGACGTACCAGAGCCTTACCCCAAGAGGGCTCCAAGACGCTGAGCAAGCGATCTCGCGCCCTCACAGAGTACCAGCGCTTTCCTCCCACGTGCCAAGCAGGTCTGATGGCCGACATAACTTTCGGTCATGGTCGGCCCTGGACGGCCCCAGTTAGCCCAAAGATTGCCTCAGAGGGCCTCAAGTCGGCCCAAGACAGCCGCAAGAGCGCCCCGTAACTTTTTGTTGCTCAAGTGCTTGCCGTCCTCTCCGCCACCTGCTACATTACGACGACCCACTGTACACTCGGCGCAGCCTGGCCATGGCGCGCGTGCTGGCGGTGGTGCTGATGGCCCTCGCCTTCGTGCAGGGTGGCGCCCTTGACTCGGAGGAGGATCGCCCCAAGGGCGCCCGCAGGCGGGCCCGTGAGCGCGCGCTCGCGGCGCAGACCGAGGAGGACGTGGCCAAGACCGGCTGCGCCCAGCTGGGTGGCGACAAGTGGTTCTCGGATGCGCACGGCGAGCTGTTCCAGGTGAAGCAGGACCACTGCTCGATCACCTTCGCGCTGAAGACCAAGAGCGGTGCAACTGTCGAGAAGCGCGGCGTGGTCAGGGGCGCCAAGGTGCTGATGGAGCCGCCCTTCCCCGAGGGCACGGTGGTGGCGCGAGCGTCAAGTTCGAGAACGGCGCCAAGTGGGAGCGCAAGTGGTGAGCGCCTCGCCGGACTGCCGGGCGGCCTCCCGTCGAGGCTCAGAGCGGCGCGTCGACAGGCCTGGAGCCTCTCAGATACCCGCGGGCGACTCGTCGAACCAACAAGAAAGACGGCCCCTGAGAGCGCCCAAGCTACCGCCACGACGGCCTCAGGGAGGCCCCAAGAGGGCCCCAAGACGGCCCGAGAGCGCTCAAAGAGGGCCCAGGGTGGCCTCAAGACGGCCCAGGAGGCCCCCAGTATGCTCCACGAGGCCTCCAAAAGGGCCCCAAAGGTGCAAAAATCGTCCATCCTCTCGGCAACGTACATTTTCGCACAGCTTTTTTGGGGGTCTTCACAGCGTCCGCGACGGCCTGAGAGGCCCCCAGGATCCCCCCCAGACGGCACAAGAGGCCCCCAAGACGGCCCCAAGACGGCCACGAGAGAGCCCAAGAGGGCTCCAAGGCAGCCCCAGAGGCCCCCACGACGGCCCAAGAGAGGCCCCTCTTGGGCCCCGAAAGATCCCCAAGATAGCCCTAAGAGGGTCAAACGAGGTCCCCCAGAGGGCCCCAGAGGGAACCGAGAAGGCCCCAAGACGGCCCCAGCTCCTAAGATGGCCCAAGGGCCCCAGGGCGATCCAAGAGGTCCCCAAGACGGTCCAAGGGAGCTCCAGAAGGACTCCCGCGAGTGCACGGACATTGATTGTTGCAAGGTGGTTTGTTCGTTTTTGGCATGACGTACCAGAGTCTTAGCCCAAGAGAGCTCCAAGACACTGAGCAAGCGATCTCGCGCCCTCACAGAGTACCAGCGCTTTTCTCCCACGTGCCAAGCAGGTCTGATGGCCAAACTTTCGGTCATGGTCGGCCCTAGACGGCCCAAGTTAGCCCAAAGAGCGCCTCCGAGGGCCCCAAGTCGACCCAAGACAGCCGCAAGAGCGCCAAGAGTTTTTTTTTGTTGCTCAAGTGCTTGCCATCCTCTCCGCCCCCTGCTACATTACGACCCACTGTACACTCGGCGCAGCCTGGCCATGGCGCGCGTGCTGGCGGTGGTGCTGATGGCCCTCGCCTTCGTGCAGGGTGGCGCCCTTGACTCGGAGGAGGATCGCCCCAAGGGCGCCCGCAGGCGGGCCCGTGAGCGCGCGCTCGCGGCGCAGACCGAGGAGGACGTGGCCAAGACCGGCTGCGCCCAGCTGGGTGGCGACAAGTGGTTCTCGGATGCGCACGGCGAGCTATTCCAGGTGAAGCAGGACCACTGCTCGATCACCTTCGCGCTGAAGACCAAGAGCGGTGCAACTGTCGAGAAGCGCGGCGTGGTCAGGGGCGCCAAGGTGCTGATGGAGCCGCCCTTCCCCGAGGGCACGGTGGTGGGCGCGAGCGTCAAGTTCGAGAACGGCGCCAAGTGGGAGCGCAAGTGGTGAGCGCCTCGCCGGACTGCCGGGCGGGCCTCCCGTCGAGGCCCAGAGCGGCGCGTCGACAGGCCTGGAGCCTCTCAGATACCCGCGGGCGACTCGTCGAACCAACAAGAAAGACGGCCCCTGAGAGCGCCCAAGCTGCCGCCACGACGGCCTCAGGGAGGCCCCAAGAGGGCCCCAAGACGGCCCGAGAGCGCTCAAAGAGGGCCCAGGGTGGCCTCAAGACGGCCCAGGAGGCCACCAATATGCTCCACGAGGCCTCCAAAAGGGCGCCCAAGGTGCAAAAATCGTCCGTCCCCTCGGCAACGTACATTTTCGCACAGCTTTTTGGGGGGTCTTCACAGCGTCCGCGACGGCCTGAGAGGCCCCCAGGATCCCCCCAAGACGGCACAAGAGGCCCCCAAGACGGCCACGAGAGAGCCCAAGAGGCCTCGAAGACAGCCCCAGAGGCCCCCGCGACGGCCCAAGATGGGCCTCTGAGAGCGCCAGAAGATTCCCAAGATATCCTCAAGAGGGCCACAGGAGATTCCCAAGACGGCTCAAGCCCCAAGACGGCCCGAGAGGGCCCCAGGACGACCCAAGAGGGCCCCAAGAGGGCCCAAAGGAGCTCCAGAAGGACTCCCACGAAGGCACGGAGAGTCCGCATTCATTGATTTTCGCAAGGTTGTTTCTTGGTTTTTGGTATGACGTGCCAGAGTGTTAACCCCAAAAGGGCTCCAGTACACTGAGCAAGCGATCTCGCGCCCTCACAGAGTACGAGCGCTGTCCTCCCCTTGTGCCAAGCAGGTAACGCAAAGAGCGATGTACGAGCGTTGACGTTCTGGTGGGGCGAAGCCCTCTAGGGAGGGGGAACGGAAAGAGCGAAGTACGACCCATGACGTTTTGGTGGGGCGAAGCCCTCTAGGGAGGGCTTCCATGCGAAAGGGGTAGCAGGGAGGCGCGGGCGAAAAGTCTAATGGCCAGCTTCTCTGGCATTTTTTCTGGTAGCGACAAGAGCGAGGTACGAGTGATGACGTTTTAGTGTGGGGCGAGGCCCTTCAGGGAGGGGTCCAGGGGAGGGGCGAAGCAGGGGCGCAGGGTTGGTAATGGCCGTTTTCGGGTTTTCCTTCGGGTTTTTGAATGTAACGGAAAGAGCGAGGTACGAGTGATGGCGTTGTGATTTGGGCGAAGCCCTTTAAGGGGGGGGTCCAGGGAGGGGCGTACGGGGAGTGGATGGGTTTAATGGCCGTTTTCGGGTTGTCCTGTGGGTTTTTGCATGTTTTTCGGGTTCCACCCCAAGACGGCCCAAGAGCGTTCCGAGAGAGTCCAAGACCGCCCAAGACGGCCCACGAGGCCCCCAAGAGGCCCCCAAGAGGCGCCCAAGGGGCGTCCCACGAGGGCCCCCATAGGCCAAAATCATTGATTTTCCTTTCGAAACGTACATTTTTAGCATCTGCGGCTTTTCGGCTTTCATGGCGTTGACGACGGCCCAAGAGGCCCCCAAGACCGCCCCATGACGGCCCAAGAGGCTCCCAAGAGGCCCCCAAAACGGCCCAAGAGGGCCCCAAGACGGTCCAAGAGGCGCCTAAGACTGTTTGGGCCCCAAGACGGCCCCAAGAGGGAGACCACGAACCGAAAAGTTTAGCCTTTCGCCTCAAGGCGCTCCCAGGAGGCCTCAAGAGCGCCCAAAGAAGCCCCAAGAGGCCCCCAAGAGGCGTCCCAAGAGAGGCCACCAGGATGCCAAAATCATTGATTTCCGACGGGGAAATGTACATGTTTAGCATATGCGGCTTTTCGGCTTTCACGGCGTTGAAGACGGTCCAAGAGGCCCCCAATACCACCCCAAGACGGCCCCAGAGGCGCCCAAGAGGGCCCCAAAACTGCCCAAGAGGGCGCCAAGACGGCCCAAGAGGCGCCCAAGACGGCCCAAGAGGGCCCCAAGACGGCCCTAAGAGGGACCACGAACCGAAAAGTCTAGCCTTTCGCTTCAAGAAGCTTCCAGGAGGCCCCCAGAGCCCCCCAAGAAGCCCCAAGGGGCCCCCAAGAGGTCCCCAAGAGGCCTCCAAAAGGGCTCCAAAAGGGCCCCAATAGAACTCCCAGGAAGGCCCAGAGACGCCAAATAGAGAGCGATCGGTAACGCAAAAAGCTCTTCCCACCAAGGCTCCCAAGAGCGAACGGTGACGCAAATAAGCTGATAAGACCAAGGCTCCCAGCAGAGAGCGGTGACGTAACAAGCTCCTGACACCAAGGCCCAGCCAAGGCTCAGGAACGGGCGGCAACGCAACAATCTCTTCACACCAAGGCTCCCAAGAGCGAGCGGTGACGTAAACAACCTGATAAGACCAAGGCTCCCAGCAGAGAGCGGTGACGTAACAAGCTCCTGACATCAAGGCCCAGCCAAGGCTCAGGAAAGGGCGGCAACGCAACAATCTCTGAACACCAAGGCTCCCACGAGCGAGGGGTGACGTAACAAGCTCTCAACGCCAAGGCTCCTGGTACGAACGGTGGTGTGAGTGATTTCGGTTTCTGTTTCTGAAGCGCTCTTTCCGTTTCTGTGCCGGGCCAGGTTTTTCGGGTTCCACCCCAATACGGCCCAAGAGCGTTCCAAGAGAGCCCAAGACGGCCCACGAGGCCCTCAAGAGGCCCCCAAGAGACGCCCAAGGGGCGTCCCAAGAGGGCCCCCAGATGCCAAAATCATTGATTCTCTTTTGGGAAACGTGCATTACGGCTTTTCGGCTTTCACGGCGTTGGCGACGGCCCAAGAGGCCTCCAAGACCGCCCCATGGCGGCCCAAGAGGCTCCCAAGAGGCCCCCCAAACGGCCCCAGAATGCCCCAAGACGGCCCAAGAGGCGCCCAAGACGGCCCAAGAGGGCCCTAAGACGGCCCCAAGAGGGGGACCACGAATTGAAAAGTCTAGCCTTTCGCCCCAAGACGCTCCCAGGAGGCCTCAAGAGCGCCCCAAGAAGCCCCAAGAGGCCCGGAGGCCAAAGTCATTGATTTCCGAAGGGACAAGGTACATTTTTAGCATGCACGGCTTTTCGGCTTTCACGGCGTTGAAGACGGTCCAAGGGGCCCCAAAGACCGCCCCAAGACGGCCCCAGAGGCGCCCAAGAGGGCCCCAAAACAGCCCAAGAGGGCGCCAAGACGGCCCAAGAGGCGCCCAAGACGGCCCAAGAGGGCCCCAAGATGGCCCCAAGAGGGGGACCACGAACCGAAAAGTCTAGCCTTTCGCCCCAAGAACTCCCAGGAGGCCCCAAGAGCTCCCCAAGAAGCCCCAAGGGGCCCCCAAGAGGTTCCCAAGATGCCTGCAAAAGGGCTTCGAAAGGACCCCAATAGGACGCCCACGACGGCCCAGAGACGCCAAATAGAGAGCGATCGGTAACGCAAAAAGCTCACACCAAGGCTCCCCAGAGCGAACGGTGACGTAAATAAGCTGATAAGACCAGGGCTCCCAGCAGAGAGCGGTGACGTAACAAGCTCCTGACGAACAGGCGGCATCGCAACAATCTCTGAACACCAAGGCTCCGAAGAGCGAGGGGTGACGTCACAAGCTCTCAACGCCAAGGCTCCCAGTACGAACGGTGGTGCGAGTAATTTCGGTTTCTGTTTCTGAAGCGCTCTTTCCGTTTCTGTGCCGGCCCAGGTGAAACGGCCCCAGGGCGGCTCCAAGGGCCCAATTCCTAATATTTTGCTCGAGTGTAACGGCTCGGGCCCCAAGACTGCCCCAGAGGACCCAAAACTGCCCCGAGACGGCCCCAAGAGAGCCCCAAGAGTGCCCAAGAGGCCGGTGGCGGGATGGGCTGGATGCCAACAGGCCAGTCTCGTGCTCTATGTAGATTCTCGAGTCTGGCGCCACGCGTTTCGGTGGTTCGATGCTCAAAGACCCTCCCTCGGCTTCAGAAGTCATCTTCTGGCCCACGGCGGAGGCCAGCCGAAGGCCCGCGGTAGCTGGCCGATGTAAGTCGAGGGCGATCTGGCTGGCGGAAGCCAGCGGAAGCTCGCCTGCAGCCCGCGGAAGCGACATTGGTTTTGTAAACGATCTACGTTGGCCACCGTGCCGTCTTCAGCATGCAGAGCCAGCCTCGTAAATGTCGCACGGTGTGCACAATCCATTTGTGAAGCGTTTCAGGCCGGGTGGTGCAGCTTCAGTCCCCCATGGCGGTGCCGGCGCTCCACGACGATTTAGATGGCCTCAGAGATGCCTCCAACACAGCCAAGGAGGCCCCAAGACGCCCCGTGACGCTCCAAACGACCCCCACGAAGCCTCCCAAGAGGGCCCCAGGAGGCAGACATGGCCCCATTTCCTTCGGACAACGTATATGTTTACCATACTCGTTCCTCGGGCTTTCACAGCGTCCAAGACGGCCCGAGAGGTCCCCAAGATCGTCCCATGACTGCTTTAGAGGCTCCCACGAGGGCTCATGGGGTCCCTGAACGGACATTTGAAGCTCTCCGCCCCTGGAGGACCCCAGGAATCCCCAACAGGCCCCAAAAAGTTCTCCAAGGGCCCCAAGAGGTCCCCTAGAGACCCCAAAGATGCCCTCAGAGGCCCGCAATAAGCTCCTGGAAACCCCACATGGCCCCCAAGCGCCCCACCATGTGGAGCTTCCTCGGTACCCTTTGGTGGTTTGAGAGAGCCCTAGGCTTGCCGACAAGGCCAAAAGGGGCCCCTCGGAAGCTTCCCGGGAACATGATTCTCGGTTGCCGCCCTCTCCCCGAACCATGTTTTCCTAAACGCCTGCCTGGAAAAAAACGAGAGTCCCAAGCAGCGCTAATTACCTGCCGCCACGCTCGGAAACGCGTCAGGCCCCGAAGCCTCTGGAGGCGCCCATCGACACCCCAACAAATCATGTTCCCAGGAAGTCTTACGGCCAGTGCCGCCGACGTTGAAGGAGGACGGTCCAGGACACCCAAAAATCTTCCAAACAGGCTTCCAAGAGGGCCCCGAGACAGCCCAGGGCCGCCCCCAGACGGCCCAAGAAAGCCCCAACACAGACGAAAAGGGCCGCAAGAGGCCTCCAAGAGGCCCCGAAACGGGGACATATCGTCCGAACACGCCCAAGATGGCCTCGGCCCACAAGGTTTCCAACAAGGCCCAAAGGGACGCCCAAACCATTGATTGTCCTTAGGTTTTTGATGGATTTCAGCAATTCTGCTGGGGGCTCTGGGGCGCTGCCGTTGCGCTGGGACCCTGTAAAGTCGCCCGAGGACGGCCCTGGATTGCCAGACATGGCCTTTCCAGATCACGAAAACGACCAATGACCGCCCGAGATCACCCCAGAATTAGTCCCTGTCTGTCCAAGAGGCCTCCAAGACGCCCCAAGAGGCCTCCAAGACGGCTCCCAGGGAGCTCCAGGAGGCTCACTTAATTAGTTTTCTTTTGTTTTTTGAGCGATGTTCGAGCTTTCGCCCTTTCAGTTTCCTCAAGCTCCACGACGGCCCAAGAGGCCTCAATTTCCGCTCCAAGACATCCCCAGAGGCCTCGAATATGGTCACAAGACAGCCCACGAGGGCCCCAAGACGGCGCCAGAGGCGCCCAAGGCGGCCCGAGAGGGTCCCAAGACGGCCCCAAGATGGAGCCAAGAGGGTTAACACGAGCGAAAATTCGAGCCTTCCACCCCGAGAGGCTCTCAGGAGGCCCCGAGAAGCCCCTAACAGGCTCCAAGAGGCCCCAAGAAGCCCCCCAGGGGGCCGAAGAGTATCCAAGAGGCCTCCCACGAAGGCCCCAAGAAGCAAAAATCAATGTCTTGCCATCGGTGTTTGATTGATTCTAGAGTTTGCAGCCTTTTGGCGTCCTGACGCTCCGAGACGGCCCAAAAGGCCTCCAAGACCAATCCAAGATAGCCCAGGAGGCTTCCAACAGGGCCCAAGACAGCACGAGAGGGCACCAAGACGGCCCCAAGGGGGGTCCAAAGCGGGTAAGACGAACGAAAATCTGAGCCTACCAACCCCGAGAGGCTCTCGGGAAGCTCCAGAGGCCCACAAATAGAACCCAGCAGGCCCTCAAGAAGCTCCCCAGAAGGCCGAAGAGGACGATGCCCCCAAGGGACCCCAAGCAGCCCCAAGACGCCCCCCCGAGAAGCACCCAAGAGGTACCGGGAAGCACGGAGAACTCCCCAGAAGCCCTTCAGATGCCCCCATGAAGACCCAAGAGGTTCCCAAGAGGCCCTCAGGAGGCACGACTATGTCACGCCCCTGTGCCTGATAGCACTGTCCAAGATCTTCCAGCGCGCACCCGGCCTGGGGTAGCACCTGAGCGCCCGCGAAATGCGCGCGAACACACATGTACACATACACACGTACACACATATATATCTATATATATATATATATATATATATAGATATATGTACACACATTCATACATACATACATATATGTATATATATATATATATCTATATGTATATGTATATACATATGTATTGCTACAAAGGTATACATATAAAAATATAGGCATACGTATATATGTTTATATATATATATACTGACAGGTATATATATATAGGTTTGTAGGTCGAACTACAGATAGATATATAGATGATCCCTGGCCAAGGGCCCCGGACTGGGATCACGCTTGCACAGCGGTGCCCCTCACCCCGGACGGTTTCGTTTGGAGGTCCCCAGGCGTGCGAGACCGCCCCAGAGCGTTGCCAGAGCGCCCAGGATGCCTCTAGGCAGCCCACGAGCGCTCCAAGATGCCCCAAGGTAGCCTCCAGAAGGGCCCAGAGGCCCCGAACTCCGCAGCCATTTTGGCTCAAGGCCGCCCTGGCTCAGACCGCACGGTCGTCAGTTTTGGTGGCCTTTTGCCGAGCGGCATGCCTACCACATCCGCGGCGGCCCTGCCGAGCGGCCTGAATACCAAGAACGCCTTCCACGGCACGTACCTCCCAGATTTGGTGAAGGTGGGGCTCCTCTCGGGGCCGCTGGAGTGTGCCGAGGACGTCAATCACGCGCTCCAGCAGGAATGCCAGCTCGAGATCGACAGCAGCATGCACGACATCGTCTCTACCAACGTTGGCCCTTCCAGCGTTGGCTGCATCAGCGTTGGCTATCCCAACGCTCCTGGTCATGCCGTCGTCAGGGACAACCACGACGGCAAGGCTGCCGATCGAATCTCAGCTCCATGCACAGGTACTTTTTCTTTCAATTCGGATTGCACGGTCAATTGCAGCATACAGGCAGCTACTGAGCCTGAATTCGACAACCACGCCTTCAGCGAGCGTGGCATCCTCAGGAAGGGCGCGGCCTCCCGCCTGCTGGGCGGCGGCCGCAAGGCCACGCAGCCGAAGGCCGAGGACATGAAGCTCCTCGAGGGGCTGCGCCTACTCTTGGGCGCTCCAGCGCAGGCGCCCCCCAAGCAGCCGCCGCAGCAGCCACAGCAGCCGCAGCAGCGACGGGGCAAACAGACCTTGCGAGAGGCGTTGCAGGACGCTCTCGGCAGGGCTCGGACGGACAACGCACTGAAGGGCAAGCTCGTGAAGATCCTCAAGGCAGTGGACGGCGGGCACATCACCCTGAGCGCGGACGGGAACAGCAGCGGCGCCCCTCCGGCGGGCGACAACAAAGGCAAGGGCGCCGCCGCGGCTCACAGCAGCGGCGGCGGCAAGGGCAAGGGCGGCGAGGCCGCCAACCTCGGCGCCACGGGCGCCAAAGCCAAGGACAAGACCGCCTCCGGGAACCCCAACGGCAGCGGCAAAGGCAAGGACAACGGCACCGGCAAGCCTCCCGCGAAGACTGGGAGTGGCGCCTGGTCGCTCTGGCAGCGCGACTGGCCGGATGCGACGCTCAGCCGGGCCGGCGCCGTGCTCGGCAAGCTCAGGCAGGCCGAGCTGCCCAGCAAGGGACAGACAGCCACCCTCGCCGACACCGTCGAGGAGGCCGACGAGATGCTCGCGCTCTGGCGGCAGCACTTCGGCGAGAACAGCGCGGGCGAGGAGGCCGCCAAGGACGCCAGCCTCACCGTGGGTGTCGTGGTCAATCCGGTGGCCGGCGTCTCCTGGAAGCCGTCAGGGGCGGCGCGCGCCGCCACCAAGCACATCACCCTGTCCAAGATGGAGCCGAACGAGAAGCTTCAGATCAAGCTGGTCGCCCTGGCCACGGTCGGCAAGGAGGTCACTGGACCTGCCGGCCCGGTCGTCCAGAGCGCCGCGAAGCTTCCAGTCAAGGTGGACACGATCACCGTGCGCCTCACGGTCTTCGATAAGTACATGGACGCCCTGAACTTGGGGAGCGCCAGCGCCCTGCTCAAGCAGGTCTGGCCGGCCGGGGCGAAAGGCATGCAGTTGGGCAATTGGCGGCCCACGGGCTCGCACGACGAGGCCCAGAGCTACAACATGTACGTCACTGGCACCAAAGAGCAGGTCGACGCCCTCATTGCCATCAGCGGCAAGAAGGGCGTTTTCGTGGGGCACCTCGCCACGAACAGGAACAAGATGGCGCGCACTACGGTGTCGTGGGTGCCGCGGCCAGCGGACAGCACGGACAAGGAGTACCTCGAGATTGCCCTCCAAGCCGCAGCGGGCGCCCCGCTGGCCCACCGGATCGGCGGCGGGCCAGACCTCGGCTTCGAACGAGCGGGGATAGACGTCAAAGCGTCCCCGCCTTTCGTCTGGAAGGCCACGACTCCCAAGTGGTGGCGTTCAGATCAACTGGAGAGTTTCCTGACAGGGAACGGCTGGACGGAGCCGCAGGTGACCGGCGACCTGGGGCACGGTGTCTGGCGGTTCCGCGCCAAGGCGCGGCCCGCGGAAAGCACTTCGTACATGTGGGAGGGCGCCGACCCGTCCGAGAAGATCACTGCTCTGCCAATGCCGCGGAAGGTCAAGCAGGAGACGGTGGGCAAGCAGCTCCGCAGGCCCGCGCTCCCCTGGCTCGACGACGAGGACACCGAGCCAGACGACGACGTCGCCATGGACGACGCGGACAAGAAGGATCAGCCTGGCGCTGGAGGCCCTCCCGCGCCGGCAGCGGCCGCGGGCGGTCAGGGCGCCGACCAACAGGGAAAGCAGCAGGACCAGCAGCCGCCCCGGGACCCAGCCACCAAGCAGGGCAAGGGCGCGGACGACGGCGACCGGGCCCACAAGCGGCTCAGGCTCGATGGCAACAACGTCATCAAGGACAAGACGTGCATCCTCGACGGCTACGAGGTGGTCGAAACCGGCGGCAAGGGTGCATGCGGCTACTGCGCGGTGGTGGGCTCGGGCAAGATGGCCAAGGACACCGCGGCCGATCTCAGCTCCCAGGAGGTGCTGGACAAGATCATGAAAGAGGCCGGCACCCTCCGGGTCCAGACGGTCCAGCAGATGACCAACAACCCCGACTCGTGGGAGCCGCACTGGTGCTTCGACCCTAAGGCCGCGAGCCACACGGGACGCACGTGGGCCGAGTACCTGAACAAGTGCACGGACAACGCTTTCTACATGGGCGAGCTCCAGCTCACGGCGACCGCGACGCGGCTCAAGCGGATGATCACGGTCGTCTACCCACAGGGTCGTTGCGACTCTTGATCGTGGGCGGGACGTATATGATAATAATTGCGTGTTTTCGTTGGGCCGCTGCGTCTTTTCATTTTTTCGTGCGCATTGTTGTTTGTGTTTGTTTCGTGTTAAACACACGCAGATATGTATATATATATAAAAAACATATATGTATACATATATATATATACACATATAAAAACACGTACGTACACTACTATACGTATATATATATATATAAATTTCATATATATATATACGCATATACATATATCTATATATGAATGCAACTGTATGTAATTATGGTATGCATATAGATATGTATGTAAATATGTGTATATATATGTGTATAATATTAATGACAATACTACCAATAATAGTAAACGCATACATGTTCGCAGTTGAATGTTTACGTGTACATATCATGTTAAATATTGTTACACATACATGTACGTGCGGATTCGTTCGTGTCTCACGGTCTCTCTCTCTCTCCCCCCCCCCTCTCCCTCTACCGTCGGGGCGTTGATCTAAGGAACTAAAAATAAGGAACGAGGCCCCTTTCCCCAAGAAGTTAAACTTCGACTCCCCATCGAAAACCGAGGGAACACCTTAGGAAAACTTAAAAACAAGCAAGGAACACCGAGCCCCTCCCCAACGAAAAAAGCAGCGCCCCGACTGTGCCCCCCTCTCCCCCCGCCCGCCCGCCCCTTCCTGGGCATCCTCCCACCGGCCTTCTCACCCTCGCCCCCTCCCCCCCGACTTTTCTCCTTTCCCCATTCTGCTGCTCGTGCTCTCGCGCCGCTGCGCAGCCCTGTGGCCCAGGGCGTGCGAGTTCATATTCCGTGTATGCCTCCACAGCAGAAGGCAACCGACCATCCACGTTTTTCAGACGTAGCTGCCATTCGGAACGCAATGCGTCCGATCATCAGCAAGGCCAATTTCATAAATTACCCGAACAACGCTCGACGGCACAAACCCAGGCCCGAGCTGATGAGAACGCTCGCGCCGCTCATCAACCGAAACGCTGTCGCGGGAGCCGCGCCCCCAGAGAGAGGGAGAGAGAAAGAGAGAAAGAGAGAGAGAGA